TTTATTCATTTTGAGGAATACTGAATCTGTTTTTGTGCAGGTGAGATGAGTAAATACATGTTCATATTTAGTCTAGAACTACAATAAACATCATGTTCACACAGCACACACAACGCCTCTGCACTCCCATTTTCTCTCAACATGGCAACACGAGAGCTGTCAGTCAAGACATGGGAAACAAAGTAACTGGCGTTACTTATTTGAAAAAGTAACTCAGATATTTCCTTCTAAATTAAAAAGTAATGCGTTACTTTAAAAAGTAATTTTTCCTTTGACTGTTTTTATTCGTTTTTAGGAATACTGAATCTGTTTTTGTGCAGGTGAGATGAGTAAATACATGTTCATATTTAGTCTAGAACTACAATAAACATCATGTTCACACAGCACACACAACGCCTCTGCACTCCCATTTTCTCTCAACATGGCAACACGAGAGCTGTCAGTCAAGACATGGGAAACAAAGTAACTGGCGTTACTTATTTGAAAAAGTAACTCAGATATTTCCTTCTAAATTAAAAAGTAATGCGTTACTTTAAAAAGTAATCTGATTACTTAACTCGCGTTACTTGTAATGCGTTACCCCAAAAACTGGTAATTTCTGCTCACTAGCATTACAGAATTGCAAAAATAATGTTTGTTTTCAAGCAGGTTTCCTTTAAACACTCCCCTCATCTTTGATTGGCCAGACAAACAGCCCCAAACTTACGTCATTGGTTGAGCTGTTGCTGTGTCAAGCTTGTCAGAATTCTTAAACAAAGATGTTTTGAAATCTCCACAGTGTTTAGGCTTTGAAGAGCTCAACCTACAGGTTTAGTTATAGTTGTCTCTGCATATTAAACTGTAATAGAAGAAAGTATATTAACATCAAAATAATTTCATCTTTAAATTACCCAGCATGTATTTAGTGCTCTTTATTCTTCACGCAATATTAAACCTACACTCCTCATGATTTATCGCTCTTTGTCCTCACCTTACTGTCTTTTGCTCAAGAAAAATTAATGGTACATCTCAGAACTGACAGCTAGCTGCATATTATTGAGATACTATTATAGTTTTTAATAATATTTTGAATTGGTTTCTGTTTCCTGTTTTTATTTTTATTTTAATTTTAGTTAAAGTTTTAGTAATTTGTTGTTTTTATTAGTTTTTGTTTTTAAAAAATGCCTAAATAAAATTCCTCACCTTACTGTCTTTTGCTCAAGAAAAATTAATGGTACATCTCAGAACTGACAGCTAGCTGCATATTATTGAGATACTATTGTAGTTTTTAATAATATTTTGAATTGGTTTCTGTTTCCTGTTTTTATTTTAATTTTAATTTTAGTTAAAGTTTTAGTAATTTGTAGTTTTTTTTAGTTTTTGTTTTTAAAAAATGCCTAAATAAAATGAATTGAAACTATAAAATTGAGAACTAGAAGAAATAAAACACGTTTAAGTTTTTTTTTAATTAATATAATTCATTTTATTTTATTTCAGTCAAAGTTTAAGTAACAAAAATGTTTTTTAATGGTTTTAATTTTAGTTGACTATAATAACACTGCTGTGAGCACTGTATCACTGTATCCAGCTATCTTTATTCTTGAGAGAAACAGACATCAACGTTCACCATGTCCAGTTCAACAGAATGTGATATGCGATTCTACGTTGCATTATAACTCACCCTGACCTTATTGTACACAGGCATTCTGAACGTTTGGCTTTCAAGCATTTATGCCATCGTGTTGTAAGGGTGTATAAATAGCTTGTAGTGTCTGCGTTCAGGTGGAGTATGTCTCCACAGCGCCTCTCTTTGCTGCTGAGGTGGGGACAGACGGTGCGAGGGGGAAATGTGTGGTAATTGAAATGCGCGGCGTGCTGCCTGCTGTAGGAGGGAGATTTGTCAGCCCTTCTCTCTTCTGACAGCAGTTTAATCCGAGCGGGACGAAGCCGAGCCGAGTGGGAGTGGATTCATTTGTATGGCGTGGCGAAGGGGTGTCACGAGGAAATGGAGAATGCGCCATTGGACCCTATCAAACCCACAAATGGAAACGGGACGCCACGTATCTGTGTTTTAACAGTTCTGTCTGGTCGTTTTGTACAAAATTTGTACACATTAAGACACCCAAGCTTGATGAAGATTATCTTATCCATTTTTTATGTGAGTTTTTATGTATCATAGCTTATTTCAAAGTATGTGCACAAACTTGTATTAGGTTTGAGGTCACATTAGCGAAATTTCGCAAGCAAAAAGGTCCATTGTTTATTGTCAATGGTGTAGCAATGGATGAAGCACAGCTCACACAGAAGTCACTTTCAAATCAACTTTCTGTTGCTCAGCAAATTCACGTGACCAAATTAAACCTTTTACGAAATGTAGGAATCTTGCGCCCTCACAAAATTTCCAGTTACATGGATTACTATATTAATGACTGGATTTTCAAGGTAAATGTGACTGCACCTTTACATGGCTACTTTTGAATGGCTGTCAGTGGAGAAAGGTGCTTTTTCGTCCGCAAAATGGTGTAATAACAGCATCTGCCTGCTAATTTCCGAAGCCCACCAGCCAAACTTGCACCACGCAGCAGCAGTAATTGAGCATCCAAACTTGCTTCCCAACTTTAATTGCCTTAGAAGTGAAAGTCCTCCAGTCAGTGTGATTGAGAGGGCATAATGTGCGCTGTGAACAGCTGTGAACGCTGTCTACCGAGCCTGTGAGACTCACCGCAGGAAGCCACATCACGCCCACAATCACGTAGTCCGCGCCGCATGCGTTCCGACAGTTATCCCTGATGATGCGAACACTCGATATCAACCAAACATCGATTGCAGTGCGCCTGCCCCCACGTGCTTTCAACTCAGATTTGAATTCTCATGTCAGTTTCATATTTACTTCATTTGAGGGCCAGTCAGTGGGCTCTGTTTTTATTATGTCATTTAATCTGGCCACCCGTCCGTGAAGCCGATACCTGATCAGTCTGTACGATGTAGCAGCATCGACTTGCTCCCTGATCAGAGTGCATGATTGTATTTTTTTACAACGCTGAGTGCACGCTGTATTGATTTGTGCTGGGCGTCACTGGCATGCCGTATATGCATGTTTCTTCAACTTCAGGCACTTAAATATCCCAGAGGTTGATTGTTATTTTTATTTTTATTTTTTATTTTATTAAAACATAATTTATATTTGCAACTTTGAAACTTTTTGAAAGTATTTTGACATTTTATATACATGTGTATATATATGTGTGTGTGTGCGTGTGTGTGTGTGTGTGTGTAAAACTGTGATCAATAATAAATAAATAATAAAATAAATAAAGAGCAAGATAAGCTGTATTAAATAAAGTAAAATAATACAGCTCCCTTAGTTGTGTCATTTCCACCATGTTAAACAATTTTGCTCCAATTTCTTTCTTTTTTAAATTCTAGTGTGACAACAGTGTCAATGAAGAGTTTGAGATTAAATAAGAGACTTGTGATGTGTAGAAAACAAAAGAAAAAATCAAGGCAAATGTTACTTGTGAGCAAAATATTTTTATTGTTTGACATTTGCAAGTTATAATTTTGTTAAATCGTGTGAAAATAGTATTTGTATATTTAGGATGCATAACATTAGCCATACAGTAAAAAGCCAAACAAGTCCGCCATTTCCATGGTGGAAATTACAATTTAAGAAAAGGAAAATTATAAAGATGACAGATTTCTCTTGAGATGTATATGTCCACTATTGGACTACTAGGTTAGTGTAAATAAACCAGTATGGAAAATGTGTTTTAAAAGAAGTTATTTCCCAAAAGAACACTCATACGCAGTGTAGAACCTGCTGGAACATATGGTTTTGTTGCTTCAAAAGCATGGCGTGTCTATGCATCGGCATTCCCGTAGGGTGATCTTGTCAATTCAGCTAATGGAATGTGTGCGCTAAAGCAATCAAGGAACCAAAGCAAAACCTACATTGAGATCAAGAGGAAATCAATTTAGAGAGAGAGGAAGAGTCGCATACTGATCACTCAGCAGGACTGGAGATGACTTCCAATGCTTTGGTTCCTCACTCTGGAGTCAGTCCAGAAACATTATGCTTTGTAATCCAGTGAACCTGGATCTCCTTGTACAGAAGTTATGAGGCGGTGATATCCATCCATTTAGGCAACTTTCATTTAAACCAAGGTTAAAAATTTAACTTATTGTGTTTTTCTTCTTTTTCAGGATTGTGTGTGAGATGGATGCAGCTCCCACTGACAGTAAACCCGGCCCGGTTCATTTGTGTGTAGGGGAGTGTAAGCCGGAGCTCCAGACGCGCTCTTCTCAACTCTATTCCTTTGTGGTAAGACCTTGAGCTCTGCTACATCTGAATAATGCAGTGAGGTAGTGGTGAACCTTGCCATTGTTTTGGTTTTATTAAACTGAGCTTTACTTGGTCCATTGAAG